TGGTTTGCAATGGCACAGTTGCATTCATTCTTTGTGCTCTCTCAAATCCTAAATCCAATATCGATTGATGTAATTCACACAAACTAGTTGAATAAATTAAAGCTCAGAAACAGAAATTTTCAAATATTTATAGGAAATCACGATTGGAATTTATGAGAAAAAATTAAAATCAAAACAAAGTCTTTTAATATAATATAATCTCATTGAGAAATCCAACCCCGCAGTGTAAAACAACATTCATCACCGTTTCTCCTTTGGATACATAAATTCGTTTTAAAGCCTATTTTTTTCCCCCATTACAACAGCTTCCAATATGGTGTTCATTGGTTCATTGATTATTTTGAAGAGAAAAAAATATATTACGCAACCATCAGTCATTTATGCACACAGTAGTCGAGCAAGTGAAATGACAAACAACTGCATTGTTGAAAATCTTTCATTATTCATTTAGTTTTGAATGTTGATAGAAATTTTTTTATGTTTAGACAGGTTGATTCATTGATAATTTGTGTGCTATACAAAGTAAGATAAATATTAATTGTGTTAGGATATTCAATATCCAGCGAAGAACTATTTTGTAAGTGTCAATTCTATTGGTCGATTCCTACTGGTCTATATCATGGACGTCCTAGCTATCAATGTCACATACTTCAATGTTGTTTCTTATCGGTCGTCCTGACTACCAATGTCATTTCAAATGTCTCTTTCCTATTGGTCGCCTTAACTGTCAATGTCACAGAAGTCGATGCTGTTTCCTATTGGACCTAAATGTACAAATACGCATTATCTGTAACGTTTTATGACCCGGACACGGATCCTCACTCCGGGATTCGTGTCTTCTTTTGAACTCGTACCTCGTGCTTTCTGCATGCTTGTAGAATACAGGTTCTACTTCGAATCAAGTCTACTTCTTTCACTCGATGCGGGTTGGGACACTCGGATTAGATTAGCAAGTCGTGTGGCCGGATCCTCGATCCTCGCTCGCGTTTTCCGACCAGAGTAAACTCTTGATAGTTCAAAGATATCGAATTGACATGTTTACGTGCATGCGTAACAAATTGTTTTTGTCTCAAATATTGAATTATCCAGTCATTAAAACTTTTAGCTGTATAGATAAACTTGAAAAATATGAATTTTACTATGACTAATTGTGATTAATATGTTAGCTATTTTATTGATGTTTGATACTTCGATTAGATTGAATGTGTATTATTGATCTCAGTTTCATTTGACTAATTATTGTATACGCTTACTTAAATTCAACTAATCACTTTTGCATTATTCCGAGTATATTATCTATAGAGTTTAGTTGAGTCATTATAACTCAGTCAGTTAGTCAGCCAGCTACAAAAACGTAGAACTCCGAACATACGCACATCAGTTCAAGCTTCCATCAACACATTAGCACACAGACATTCAACTGTCAATTCAAATCCCATAGTAGTAGATGTAGTAGTGTAGTGAAGCAGAACACAGGTGAGGGCAACCGAATTGTATTTATCGAAAATTACAGAGTTAATTGGTAAAGTAGGAAAACCATATCGTAAACCGTTAATTTGCAAAACATCAGTCCATTTTCTGACATTTCACTATTCATGCGTTTCATACAAATTCCACTGTGTTCCCACTCTTCCTTTTTTGATCTTTCCCCATCTACTGCTGCCAGACATTACGTTTTCACTCGGGTCATATACTACTTATAAGTAGCGCGCACCACAGCAGTAGTAGTATTAGCGATAATGCAAGAGGTTAGTGTTCGAAGAAATTATTAAAGAAGTTAGAATCCAGTGAAATAAATTTAAACAGAGATATGACAAGGTCTTGAGTTCATGAGGTCATGAGAGAAGACAAAGAATGAATGAATCTGTGCCAAAGTGGCAAAATGATTATGAGCCATGTCATTCAAAGTCTCTAACCATCATCGGTTACCATCATCTCGTGGACCCCAACCAGTTAATCTGCACCTATTACTTGTGTGCAAACACATTTTCTACCAGTTTTCTACTGACCACCTCATAAATTATAAATATCTAAGTAGATACACAATAATTTCTGAAACTGTTTTTTTAAAGAAATCGAACTAAAAACATGATTAACTAGCTTTTTGAATTTGGTATGTAATGTTGTTTATTTTTTTTCTCCTTATACCCATAATCACCTACATCTCTGTGTACCAAAGAGGATTTAACTGATCTTAATTATTAATCGATTACAATTAATGACTGTAACTGTATATCGTGTTTTTTTTCTGATTAATATTCATACAACTTAATCAAATAATTTATTCGCTTTAGATTTGTGAATTATCTGATAGTGTGTCAAATATGGGCGGTTATGCTCCGCATATGGAATGTCAAGTCACTGGTCATCCATGTTGTTTAGGTTTAAAAGGTGAATGTATCATGACTACACAGGAACTATTGTGAGTTTGTACGAGGGTTCTAAAAAAAAAAAAAAACGTATCCAAATGGCGATCAAAAAAGGAAAAAACTAAAAGCGCTTATAGCGTCACAAGGTAAATATGATTCGTGCATATTTGGATGACATCAATAATACTAAAAACAGCAAAACACTTTCTTCTTTTGGTGTCAAGATAGTGACGATTGTTCTCGTATATATTCCTCGGCCGCCATTGGCCACCAAAATGATAAAATATTGGGGCACTTACCCCAAAGGGATATATTTATGTAACACCGCTATGAAATGAGCGTTGACCCATTTATCGTGTAGGTTGTGATTGTGGACTAATTTTAGGCTAGTTGAAACACCAGTTCAAATGGCTGGGTATCAGTGATGGTAGGCGATGTAGGTCGGAGAAACTGTAAGGTCTTGGGTTCGATTCCCCTTATACTAGGGTCATGGACATGGTCGCACTGCTGACAATT